CTTCCTTCCTTCCTTCCTTCCTTCCTTCCTTCCTTCTTTCTTTATTTTTTTATTGGGGAATTGGAGAAGGGAACAGTGTTGGGGAATTGGAGAAGGGGAACACTGTGTTTTTCCAAGACCCATCAGCTCCAAGTCAAGTTGTTGTCCTTCAATCTTAGTTGCAGGTGGGCATAGTCCACCATCCCATGCAGGAAATTGAACTGGCAACATTGTTGCACACTGAGCCATCCCACCTCCCATCAGCAGCTCCCTGCTGCTCAGCTCAAGGCTGTTGTATTCAATCTTAGTTGCAGAGGGGAAGGGGGTGCGTAGCCCACCATCCCTTGCAGGAGCAAAATCAGCAACCTTGTTAGGAGCACGTGTTCTCACTAGCTGAGCCATCCTGCCCCCCTGTTGGCAACTCAGCGGCAGCTCAGCTCAGGCACAGCTCACTGGCCCATGTGGGAATCAAACCGGCAACACTGTTGCTTAGGGCTCATGCTCTTAGCCAACTGAGCCACTTGGCTGGCCCTGTGTTCCAGTTTCTTAACACTGGGTGCTACCTGTGTGCAGGTGCATAGCACGTTATATACACCATCTTTAGTTGTGTGTGAGGTAAGTATGTGATTTTATAGATGAGGGACTAGAGGTTACGTAGTTTGCTTAAGCTTTGGTGGTATAGGTCCAGATTCTGTGTTGGTAACCACTTCCAGCTTTGACAGGAGGGGGCGGGGTGGGGTGGGGAGTAAATCCTGCATCACCGGGTTGCCCAGGACCCTCTCCCCCAGGCCAGCTCTGTGACCCCGGGACCAGTCTGGCATTTGCCCCTGTTCTTCAAGCCCCATCATGTCCCACTGTAGTAGGTTGTCAGGAAACATTTGTCAGGTGGGTTAGCCCCCCGCTGGCTAGCCCCCTCAGGCCAGCCCTCAGTGGACAGCCCCCGGATGAAGCTGCCGCCCTCCCAGACTGGGCACGAAGCTGCTCCCTCACCAGCTCACTCAGCCCCAGCAGCCCCTGCCCCTCACCTTTCACGCCTCCCCACGGGGACCTGGCAGTTTTCCTCCAGGCTAAGCTGGTTTTTCTAGACGAAGTTGCTCTTCCACTTTGTATGGACTCTTCCTGTTCACAGCCAGCACCTGGCAGTCCAGCCTGGACGCACACTTGTCCTCAAGTGAGGTCAGCAAAAGAGCTCTGAATTGGGGGACCACGGCCAGATTTGGAGATCTGCCCACCTCCTGTGTGACCTCTGCACCCTTAGGCAGGTCTCGGCCTGAATTTTCTCGTCTGTCAAATGGGAATAATAATAAAACCCATTGTGCTTTTGACAAACTCTACACAAAAATGCTTTAAACCCAGTAAAGTGCTAGTGAAATATTATTCTCTCCTGACCTCGGTTTATACTGTTCACTCCGACAGCATAAATCTTTGTGTCTTTATGTAGCTGGGGCTGGAGGAACAATCCAGTTCAGAGCAAGAACTGTAGAGGCCAGCCAGTGGGAGTGAAGTCTGGACCTGCCTCTTGGCAGCTGTGTGACTTGGGGCAAATGACCTAATTATTGGAAAAAGAGGAAAAACAAGAGCACCTATCTGTCCATCAGGCTGTTGCTGAGAATGAATGAGATAATGTATATGACAAGCTTAGCTGAGTGACCTACCCACAGTGGGTGGTCAGCACATATGGTCATCATTAAGTCACCGCAATGGCGTCCCCCACCCCCAACCCCTCTGCTTATAAGTCATTCAAAACAAGTCCCTGTCTGCAGCTCCTGGCTGGGAGAAGCAGCCCCAGGTCCAATCAGGTGCTTGTTAAAATACTTTTTTGATGAGGATGAAAGGGCTGAGAGGATCCCTTGATAGCCGAGGAGGCTCCCCGCCCCCACCCCACCTCTCCTGCTAAGCAGCTTTTCGTGGGGGAAGAGCAGGAGTACCTCAGGCTCCCCGAAAACCTGCAGAGGTGAGAAGCATCCCCCAGATGGACCTTGTCATGGCTGGACAGACAGGGAGGAGCCTCACAGAGCCTGGGGGTGGGAGGCCTGTGTTCCAGGGACCCGCTTGTGCTTAAACTCCAAATAGAATCAGGGAAGGGGCTAAAATTAAAACCTTGATCATGATCAAGTGGTTAAAAAAAACCCATCAGTCAGAGTCTCCTTCCCACTGCAGCCAGCTCTGCTTCAGAGAAAACAGGCGAGGAGGACAGGGGGGCTGCTGGGCCTGGAGCACTGATCACAGATCCCAACCCCACCTGCCCCACCCCTCAGGGCCTGAGGGTCATTCCCCCACTTCCCGTCCACCCACCTCCATCTTGCCCAGAGCCCAGCAGAGCTGGAACAAAGCCCCTAAATGCTTCTCAGGGGGGTGCCTGCCCGCAGTGGAGGGAGGCCCTCCTGCACTCTGGGCTCAGAGCTACACAGACCTGGGTTCGAATCCAGACTGCCAGTTACGAGCTGTGTGACAGGACAAGTCACTCTGTGTTTCCAAGCCTCTGTTTCCCATTCTGGAGCAGGGGAGTAATAATGGCACCTGCCTGGGGGCATGTTGTCTGGATTCATGTCTGAGCACCAGCAGTGGCTCGCCTGCCTGAGGCCAGGCAATATGGGATGTTTCAAACCAATAGAACTGACTCAAGGTCTGGTGCCCATTTTTTTGTCTCCTTGCACCAGTCCTCCAACCCTGGGGCTGCCCCCAACCTTTGACCTCCTCCCTGGCTGGATCCTGGCTGCCGCCTCTGTTCAAGGGGCCTCTTCTGAACAGGCCGTGTCTCTAGACGGGCCATGGGTATGGGAGGGGGCTGAGATGCCCACCTCAGCAATGGGTCTCCCAGGCCTGGCCTTGGTGCCACCCCCTCTTCCCAGCCTCACAGCCTGCCTCACCCTGCAGCCCTGGTCTGTTCCAAGGACGCCCCTGAGGGACAGCAGGTGGCTGCACTGCTGGCACCTGGCAGGGCAGAGCCTGTGGCGTGGGCAGGCAAGGAGGGAGGACTGAGGTGTGCCTTGGCTGGGGACCTAGGACGCTGAGAAAGGAAACAATGAGGCGGTAAAAATAGCCCTTTGTTTTCCATAGGCCACACATCCTCATGTGTCCTGTGTGAAAGAAAAACACCAGCCACCTTAGGGAGCCAGAAACAGTGAAGCCAGGCCCTAGGCGTGGTGGAGGGAGCTGAGATGTGATTTGGGAAGGGGCCTGGCTGAGGGGGGAGACATGACAGGTCTCAGGTGGGGCCAGCCTCTCCCTCCACTGTTTCCACAAATCCTTCCACCCTCTGATGTGCCCAAGGCAGCCCGTCAGAGCCTCACTGGCCTGAGTTGGCTGCTCCTGGCCAGACCTATTGTGCGACTGCCCCTGGGCTCCGTCAAGATCACTCTGCCCCCAGCCCTCAGCCCTGAGAGGCCTGTGGCAGGCCCAGCGGGGTGGGGGTGGGGGTGGGGTTGCTGGCTGCTCCTTCTCAGCCAGGCTGTTCCTGCTGGCTGGCTTGCCCCTTTGGGGGTTCGTCTTGGGGTTGGTCCAGCATCCCAGGGGGAGGGGTCTGTGGACTCTTCTCTGGCTGAATCACCTGCCATGCCTTATCCAGAGCTGCTAAGGCTGCAGAGAGGTCAGACCCTGGGAGAGATGGCCTGGACTCTGGCCCTTCAAGGTTTCTCTCTGGAACTTTCCTTCATAGCTCTCACAGGTCCTCCCAGCTTGCATACCCTACTTCAGAGGTGAGGCCTGAGCCATCTGGCTGGCCCCCAGGACTTCTCCAGACTTCCAGAGTTAACCCAGCCCTGGCAATTCACTGGGCCAGGCATTCAGCTCGTCGGTCGGGAAACACTGACTGAGGACCTACTATGTGCGAGCTGGAATGGTAGCAATGACGGACATGGACGCGCCCTGGGGCGCGGAGGCTGCCGAGGCAGACTGACTTGGAAATAGGCAACAACAGTGCAGTGTCCTGAGGGAAAGAAAAACCCTTGTCTCGGGTGAGGCAGAGTGGGCGCTGGCAGACTCAGCTTGCCTGCGGGGAGCTGAGGCAGTCAGGGAGGTCCCTCAGAGCCCCGGCACCTGCCCGTGGGGCTGCCCTGGTCCCTGCCATGCTGCATGGTTCATGTGATGGGCAGGGCAGGGCAGTGGCGGAGCCTATGGGTCTACTGGGTCGATGGTCCCTGGTGCCTCCCCAGCAGTCAGACTGAGAAACAGCAAAGGAGAAAAAAACATTTGGGGGTGATGTGTCAGGACAAGCCCAGGACTTCAGGCTAGAGCCTGGCGGTTGCGGGAGAGCCAGCTGCACACCGCTACCCACCCTGCCTGGTGGGTTCCTGCTGGTGCTGGATGGGCAGCTGCCGGCACTTGCTCCGGCCTACTCCTGCCACCCCCTCCCTGGGCCATGTGATCTATTCAGGGACCCAGACATTTGTCGGGGGGAGTGAGAGGGGGTGTCCTAGTACTTTGTCCCTTCTCCAAGATGCTGGGAGGACAAGCTCATGCTTGTGTGTGGAGGACACGAGAAGCTTATGAGATTAAGCTCTTAAAGGTCATCAGGCAGAAGAAGCGGCCGGGGCCGGGCAGGGAGCGGGGAGGCCATTGCAGAGAGCGCGCTGGACCTGGATGGGGTCTGGGGGCTCTAACCCGTTCTGCCACCAGCCTCGGGTGATTCCTTTCCATGTGGCTGAGCCTCAGTTTCCCATCGTAAAGCAGGGGGTGCGGAAGCGATTAGTGCTGCCCCCAATAGTCCCATCGCTCTCTGCCTTCTAGGCCTATGGAAGGACTGTGTCCCCCACCTCTCCCCTTCTTTCCAGTTAAGTATGGTCCTGACTTGCTTTGGCCAATGAAATGTGGGCAGAAGTGATGGGCCATTTCAGATGGAAGCTTTAAGGTCCACTTGGTCGTGTTCCAGAGGTGGCTGCCCCATCCACCTGGCTCCTGGCAGAGCCTCTGCCAGTCCACGAGTACAGAAGGAAGTGTGTTGTTGTCTTGTGCCCTGAGTGTTTCTGCAGCATCGCTTGGCCTCTCCTGACCACTAGATCGCATCAGTGACCTTGAACCTTCGGGGCCATGTGGCATTACCACTCTTGCTGTATCAGAGAATAAATACTCTGTTGGCTCCCAGCCCACCGCTTCCCTGAAAGGTTGTGTCTGGGAGCCACTTACTTTCCTGGGACCAAGGAAGGCTGCCAAGTTTCCTACCCAGGATCCTGAGAGGCAGTGGATGCTGTTTGCATTCAGGATAAAAATCTCCCCTCCCTCTCCTGGGCAGCCCCAGGCCCTGGTGACCTGGTTTCTGCTAATCTCTGATCTCATCTCCTACCACACCCACCCACCCCCA